CCCCCCAACACAAATCTCTGCAGATCATTTACTCATCTATACACTGTTTAATGATCCCCTACCCTTCCAGATCCCAGGCGTCCACTGAATATCCGCATACTAACTTCCTAGGCCCATCTGCACCTCACAAGTCTTGTATAACTATCACCCCTCCATTAGGTGCACATCTGCCTATCCAGGTAACCATCTAGCACCCTCCCAGGTTATATACACCTAGTCCTCAGATGTCCTCACATCTCACCAACCTTGTATATCCATAATGCTTCCCCTTATGCCAACTACACCCCTTCTATCCACCTTTGCATCTACTCCTCCCTGTACACACCAGTTACACTGAGCATACCTGTCTATTAGGGTCCACCCTTGTATGTGACTTTCCCAACTACAGTGCACAGGACACACACAGAGCACTCGGCACCCATGTTCACACTTAGCTGTGCCTACATGTACCTTGATTACCCTCAACAACCCCTACCCTTCATCTGATGTGTATACCTGTGTGCCCAGGCCCCCTGCACTTCACATGCATTATGAACCTGTATCATCAGCTACACTGAGCATACCTGTTTATTAGGGTCCACCCTTGTATGTGGCTCGCCCACCTAGAGTGCACAGGACACACACAGAGCACTCAGCACCCATGTTCACACTTAGCTGTGCCTACATGTACCCTGATTACCCTTAACAACCCATACCCTTCATCTGATGTGTATACCTGTGTGCCCAGGCCCCCTGCACTTCAGAAGCATTATGAACCTGTATCATCAGCAACACTGAGCATACCTGTCTATTAGGGTCCACCCTTGTATGTGACTTTTCCACCTACAGTGCATAGGACACACACAGAGCACTCAGCACCCATGTTCACACTTAGCTGTGCCTACATGTACCCTGATTACCCTTAACAACCCCTACCCTTCATCTGATGTGTATACCTGTGTGCCAGGCCCCCTGCACTTCACATGCATTATGAACCTGTATCATCAGTTACACTGAGCATACCTGTCTAATTAGCTCTACCCTTTTATGTATTTCTCCTACCTGCAATGAACATGCAGAGCACTGATTACCCAGAATCACACTCAACTGTACCCTCATGTATCCTGGTAACCCTTAGACCCTTATACCTGTGTGTCCAGACACCCTACACATCAGCAGCATTGTACACCAGTATTATCAGCGACATCGAGCATACCTGTCTATTAAGGCAGGTATGTCATCCATCTACACACTCGGTTGAGCCTACATTTACCCCGATATCCCTTAACAGACCCAACTCTCCACCTAACAGGTATACCTGTGTGTCCAGGCCCCCTACATGTTAGCAGCACTGTACCACTGTATTATCAGCTGCACTAAGCACACCTGTCTATTAGGGTCCACCCTTGTATTTGTCTCTCCCACCTACAGCACAACACACCTGTATCCCCCCTCCCCATACTTAGCATACCCGTCTATTAGAGCAACCCTTGTATGTGTCTCTCCCACCAACAGTACAGCACTGCATACCTGTATCCCCCTCCCCATACTGAGCATACCTGTCTATTAGGATCCACCCTTGTATGTGTCTCTCCCACCTACAGCACTGCATACCTGTATCCCCCTCCCCATACTGAGTGTACCTGTCTATTAGCGACATCCTTCTATATGTCTCCCACCTACAGTACAGCATTGCACACCTGTATCCCCCCCCCCCCATACTGAGCATACCTGTCTATTAGAGTCCACCCTTGTGTATGCCTCCCACCTAGAGCACAGCATTGCACTCCTGAACCCCCCTCCCCATACTGTGCATACCTGTCTATCAGAGCCACCCTTGTATATGTTTCCCACCTAGAGCACAGCATTGCACACCTGTACCCCCCTCCCCATACTGTGCATACCTGTGCATTAGGTAAAGCAAGCTACAGGCATCAGTGGGGTACCTGCCAATAATCTGCTGCAAGAAATCTGTGCAATGCAATCAATGAAAATGACAACGTCCATCAAATATATTTTGGGACTTCTGGTCCGATGAAAGGTTAACACAAAATGCAGACAAGTTAGGATAGATGGCAATGATGGAGAGGATATTGCATTGCTCTGCCTATGGATACATACACATAGCGATCCGCACACAAGTACTGCAAAGTGAAGAAGTTTAACAGCACCGAACTGGTGCATCATCCACCTTTTTGTATAAGAACCCCCCCCCCCGCCCCCCACTTCACCAATATTGTTGCAGTAATGATGTCAGAAATTAGACACAACCACGTGTTGCAGTACAATTGGATACCCGCATGCAGTGTGACATACATGTATCATGCTTGTCATAGAACCAGCATTGTATGTGGCTGCGTGCCGCAGATGACTTGCTGCATAATTAGCTAAACTTGGCTGTCAAGGTTATAAATGTTCAAGTGTCATTTTTTTTCTTCTATTGCTGAGCCTCCATTATGGCATACACTTCTTTTTTTTCATTAACACTTCTTTGCCTAGGACACGTAAAGTTTAACCCTTTAAACTCCCTATCAGTGGTCCAGGGTTGTTGCCCAGGGATGCTGCATAGCGGTTTATTGGTAAATGATGTGTTGCTTGCTGGTTGTTTGGGGTCTGCATGCTGCAGCCCCACATCCCCGGCTGATGAATTCTAGAGTATAGAGATTGGTGCAATGATCAGACTGAGAGACACAGCTATTTATAGAGTCTTGTCGCCTACACACTTCTAGCAAACGTCTCCCAGCATCCTCAGCACCGAGAGGGGAGGGTGGGGGCCGGTGGGAGGAAGGAGGACAGAGGCTGCTGGAGACACAAAGAAATTGTGTCTATGTGGGTCTAGTTGTATGTGTGTGAACATTGTATCATAGAGTGCAGTTCATGCCTTCCTCATATATCCGGTAGATGTAAGTGCGCACGACCATGCCTGTATGCGCAAAGCTACACGTAGGACCTTATTTACTAAAGTTTACATGTTGCTGACAAAGTTGAACAAAATCAGGCCAGCCTGCTGGTACACCCACTTCTGTGCAAGTGTTATCCCTCTCTGGAAGGTAGATGACTATGGTGGGCACTCTAATAAATAAATAAATATATATCATATACAGTATACCTTACCTATATACCCAATAAAGATCAGAATATGTTAAAGTGATATTAAAGTTAAAAGTTTTTTTTAAGCTATTTCAAATGCTGAATAAATCACTTACAATGGATGCTGCTCATTGAGGTTTAAAAGTTTTAATTTCCTGCGGAATCAGCTGGTCCCCTGAGCACTGGCCCTGATATCCTATTATAGAGTGACTCCTTTCCCTTGCAGGGTCCTATAGAGCCACCCTTGTCTGTTCTAGTAAGTTGTGTGTATATCCAAAAATACACAGAGCAAGAAAAGCCTCATCCCTCCTTGCTCCCCTCCTTCTCCTCCCTTCACCCACTCTAAGCTAGTAGATGGACGGCTGCTGGAGACTTCTCTGTCTCTTGTGATTATGTACGGGACAGGAAGTTCAGGGAAGCTGAGCTGAGAGAGTTGGAGCTGTTTGGAAACATGATGACTAAGTGCTTGGACAAAAATGTGAAGAAATACTTTGCTGGGTAATTTATAGTTGTCAGATCTGGATTCATTGTTAAAATAAATGTTTTACAGGGTTATTCATAAAAGGGTGAAGAGTTTGGAGAAGGCAGGAGAAGTGACCAATCTAGGACATAAAAGCTGAACTGGAAAGTGAGCTAAATTGGAGATTCTTTCCAAATCAGCTATGTTGTCCTAGATTGTTCACTTCTCCTGCCGTCTCCAAACTCTTCACCCTTTAGCGAATAACCCTGTCAGCATTTATTACTACTTTTCAGCGTTTGAAGATCATATTGTAAAAAGTCAACTTTGTGATTAAATGGAAGGAGAACAAAACGATCGCATCTCTCGTTCAACAGAATAAAATCTTTTTTGATCCATACGAATCCATGTTGTAGTCTTCTTTATACTTTCAGGGGTAAAGCCCATTTTTTAAAAATAAATAAATAAATGCACACATCTTGATAAAAGAAACAATGTGCATTTATTCCATTTTTGGCATTAAAGAAGAACTATGGGGTTAAGGCTTTTCCCCATAGTTCTCCTTAGGGTAACGGGAGGACACAAACTAGCGTCCTCCCGTCATCCTAGGCTCAGTATACAGCTATACTGAGACGCCGCTGTATACCACGAGCTGCTGCTCGCGGTATACTGAGACGCCGCAGCTGAAGCGGATCCCGACAATTGTGCCGGGATCCGCCCAGCTGCGTGACTGACAGCTGTCTCTGCCTATCTAGAGGCAGAGCCAGCTGTACCCGCCCCCTCCCCCGTCCGTTCCGCCAGTCAGCACGGGCGGAGCGGGGAGGGGGGAATCCAGCCCCTCCCCTGTCACAGCAGAGAGCCGTAACAGGATCGAGAGGTGAGCGAACGCCGGTATGTGTTCGCTCACCTCCCGATCTACTGAGCCGACCTGTGACAGTATAATTGTCACAGGTCAGCTAGAACTATGAGGTGAGTGAAAGGCACTCACCTCATAGTTCTCCTTTAAAGCCTGCAAAGCAATGCAACCGCGGTCATGGGTGCAATGCACAGGGTTTTGCAGACTACTCCACCAGCCGCTGTCTATATGGAGGTATGGACCTTCTGTTATGGAGCTGGAGGATGTTATCAATGGACTACACGTTCGTTGACATCACCATACTTGTGTTCCTTTGAGAACTGTAAGGCCTGGTTCACACCTAGGAGTTTTTGAGCAGTTCCAAAAGCGCTTTTAAATGACTAACACAAGAAATCCCATGATTTTCAATGGCTCTGGTTCACACCTGAGCAGAAAACGCAAAACGCCCGAAAAGGTACATGAGCTTCTTTGGGCAGATAAAAGTGCTTTTTTGCCGAGTGGCAGAAGCATGGTGCACATTGTCGTGAGCGTTGTTGCGGGTTTAAACGCGCGTTCTTCTATTGCCCGCAATGTTTTGTTTAATTTTGCAGGGGGAGGGTATGATTTTTTAATACTAATTATTCTATATAGTTAGTTATATAAAATGTATTGAGGTGTAACGACAGGAAAAGCTCATACAAACCTACACTTCCATTTCACAATATATTATAGTATTAAACATCTGTCCTCTCATTTTCTGAAGCAATGCACACACACGTGTTGTATCTGCGTTGTGTATTATTATGTATACAATATATGAGTTGGATCAGTCGTGCAGTGCTTTGCCCCGATGCCCAGATTCTGAATCCATCAGTGTTGCACATAATAGGCCATTGCCGACATATGCTGCGGGCTAATAGATCACTGAAAACCAAGTATTATCACTGCATACTTCCTGTGACCCTAAGCATTAAATGATTCTGCACTACTAAGCATGTCACAGTAAGTCATGATGTGTTAAACACACTGCCCAGCAGGAGGAGAGTGGCCAGGACGGCATGCATGTTCAGGTTCTCAGGCCCTAATGAAACTGAAAAAGAGAAGGTTCTCTTTGCCTGGTTATAGAACATAACTAGAGCTTTGTATTACTAAAAACTGGTTCTTGTGACTATCAGAGACTACAGACAATTATTTCACATGGTCCCTTTATGGGTAGTAGCAGAGAGGTAGTAGAGGAAAAAACTGAGCATTGTCCATAGTAGCCAGATCATTGAGAGATCAGAGATAGATAATTGGTAAGGGTAGCCAAGTCATTGGCTATGGTAGACAGATTATTGGCCATGGTATCCAGATCATTGGTATTAGTAGCAAGGTAATTAGCCATAGTAGACAGATCATTAGCCAAGGTAGAGATAGATCATTGGTAAGGGTAGCCAGGTCATTGGCTATGGTAGACAGATTATTGGCCATGGTATCCAAATCATTGGTAATAGTAGCCAGGTCATTGGCCATGGTAGACAGATTTTTGGACATGATAGCCAGATCATTGCCCATGGTATCCAGATCAGATCCCAAAATTCAGTGTGCTAGGGTTGGCTTGATACTAAAATTGAGAATATGATTAATTGCAATGCTCAACATATACAGAATATTCCCATTAAGGCTAAACCCAAGCCTGTCTGTCTAACATTAGGTTAAATGGTGGAAGTTAAGCAAAGGTGGGGATTGTGTTATCAGCTCACATTCTACACATCGGGTTGTATGGGTTCCACAAGGTTCTCTTCACTTGGTTACAGAACATAACTAGATCTTCTATTTGCTATAAACTGGTCCCTGTGACTATTTTGAGTCCATAGACCATTGTAAAAAAGCAAGCATTGTCCATGGTAGGCAGATCATTGTCCATGGTAGGCAGATCATTACCCATGGTAAGCAGATCATGGGCCATGGTAGCCACATCAGATCCCAATATTCAGTTTTCTCGGGCTGGCTTGATTCTAAAATATGAGAATATGATTAGTTGCAGTCCTGAACATATACAGAATATTCCCATTAGGGCTAAACTCAAGCATGTCTGTCTCACATTAGGTTTAATAGTGGAAGTCTAAGGTCTTAAGTGACAGGGGATTGTGTTACCAGCTCACATTGTGCACGTCAGGTCGTACGAGTTCCAGACTCTGATACATTCCTAATCTGCCTTATTTTGCTTAAGCTTCAGAGGTTCTAGTGTGCGCGAGTGACGGATGGATGGAGCTTCCACATGACTGACTGGTGATGTCACATGAATGCACAGAACTGACCCAGCATTCACACACAAGCATACACAGACAAAGTACACAAAGGCACGGTCAAATTCACTCATACAGCACATCTAAACAATTAGTATTAAAATAGGATTTTATATTATATTTTTGTGACTAGGCAAATGTAGGTATTTTTTCCTTTCCACATGAGGATATTGTAAACCACATGTAGAGAATAATCTTTGTGGCAACTCTGTAGTAAAGGGTGCCAGGGGTAAGCAAACTCCAGCCTTACAGCTGTTGTGTATCTACAAATTCCATGAACCATTGCAAGACTCCGACTGTCACAGACATGACTCCGAGATGGGATGTCTAGTTTGACCACATCTGGAGTGTTGGAGTTTGCCTATCCCTGGTGTAAATTGCTAGCAACAATACCCAGGTACGTGGTGGCATTCATATGATGCCACGTTAAAGTAAAGCTAAAGGCTTCTTCAGAAAATGATAATGTTGCATGGAATTCCTCTTTTAGTGCAATTGCTAAGCAATTCATTCTATAAACATTCCAAAAATAAGAGATTTTAACTGCTGGAATCTTCCTTCTATACGCATTGAAAGCTTTACTTCCTGTTTTGGGCTCCAGCCACAGTAGCACTTTTATAATCACACGCGTGACTTGGCAGATCATACTACATTACCCATCAACCTTGGCATGAGAGAAGCACCAACACAAATGGAATGGGACATCATTCAGCTCCTTCATGTGCACAGTAAAGTGAGAAGGAAGCTGTCCATAGAAAAAATGCGCTATGCAAATAAGAGTGTTATGCTGGTCAGATATGGGTGAGCACTCTGACTTAGAGTGGGCACGAGCACCACCAGGTGACAACCATGCTCCTGCTAAAGGGCTGGTGTCAACCGGGGAAAGGAAGCATGGATGGGCCAAGGACAGAAAAGATGGCGAGGTAGGCAACACTTAAGCAGGATAAAATAATGACCTTCACATACACTGTAAGGGCCTGTAGTGTGACAAAAAATAATGCTTCACACAATTCTACCCCCACCAGACTAAATTGTTGACACAAGACAAGATGGATCCATGGATTCTTGATGTGTACATAAAACTGCCACCCTGTTACCCGTCTGTTAAAGCAGAAATCAGAATTTGGCAGACCAACATCTATCCAATCTTTAGTCCTGTAGTCATGATGATCTTATTACTACAGTAGCTGCATTTTTCTTAGTTGAAAGGAAGGTTACCTAGTGTTGGAAGACCCCCGCATGTTGATCTTAGGGAAGAAAAAAATATGTTGTGGTCAATAAACCTTGTGTAAGGTATGGACCGAACTCAAAAGAAATGCCAAATGCATGTTCAAAGTTCCCAAAATAAATTTATTGGTTCTGAAATCGAAAAACAGGTAAAAAGAAAAACAAAGTCAGCAAAAGCATTATAGGGAGTTGAAAAATCCCCCTTTATCAGGACTGTCACAATTAACAAAATGTTCATTACGATACTGGATGTAGCAATCCAAGCGAGGAGAATCCTCAGTGAGTGGGTACCTGTAATCAATGGCAGAATAGCATTAAAGTGATATATAAGCCAAAAGGATTTTTAAGGTATTTCAAATGCTGATGAAATCACTTACAATGGATGTTGTTTCTTAATGTTTAAAAAAGTTAGTTTCCTGCTGAATCATCTGGTCCCCTAAGCACTGGTCCTGACTTCCTGTTAGAGTGACTCCTTTCTCAAGCAGAGTGCTATGCAGTCACCCTTGTGTGTGCTAGTAAGTTATGTGTCTCCAGTTACTCCCCTCCCTCTGGCAGGGCCGGCCTTAGGTCTTTAGGCGCCCTGTGCGAGAAAGCTTTACAGCGCCCCTCAGTGACCACACCCCTCAGTGGCCACACCCTTTAGTGACCACACCCCTAGTAACCACACCCATTTATTACCCATATTTTTGGTAAAATATAAAAAGCGGGGTATGGCCCCCTCTCCTCCCTTCTCCGAGCTAGTAGATGCACAGTTGCTGGAGTCTGCGCTGTCCTTTGTGAAGTTGTACTGGACAGGAAGTTCAGGGAAGCTGAGCTGAGAGACTTGGAAGCAGCTGTTTGGAAACATGATGATGGTAAAGTGTTTGGGAAAAACTGTAAAGTAATGCTTTGCTGGGCAATGCATATTTGTTTGATCTGGATTAATTATTGAAAAAAGTTTGAGAGTTGAATATGACTTTAACCACTTGAAGTCCGCGGTGTTTAAACCTCCTTCCCATCCAGGCCATTTTTCAGTATTCAGCGCTGCGGTACTTTGACTGACATTTATTCCGTCATGCAGCGCTGTACTGAAATGAATTTTATACCATTTTTTGGGGACAGATAGAGCTTTCTTTTGGTGGTATTTATTCACCACTGGAGTTTAAATTTTTTACTATATTAAGGAAAAATTACCAATTAAAAAAAAACTGTTTCCCCTATATTAAATGATAAAACATTTATTATTACCCAATTTTTTGGTAAAATATAAAAGACGGGGTCATGTCGGGTAAAACGACACCAAACATGTCAAGCCTTAAAATTGCGTGTATATTATAATACCCAAAATTGGCCATAGGCGACGCTTTAAAAGCTTTTACCGCTCATCAGTTTAGTGTTATCAGTGATTGATGCTCCTAAAATGATTGCTCTCACTGCGACGTTCATGACGAAATGTAACGTGTGTAGCACAATTGTCGTTTTCGCGTGCTGGTGCACCGGACGCGTATTTACGTTTTTATGTGCGTAAACATGGGGGTGGGGGAGTTAAGAATTTTTGGGGTTTTTTAAAAACTTTTTTGATATGTGACTTATGTTTTTTTTACACTTAATGTCATTGCTATTACATAGGGGGATAAAAATCCCCCTATATAACAGCAAAGGCACAC